AGATCCTCCGGCCCCAGTCAAGCCTTCATATGACCACAGCCCTGATACCATCTCGACCGCAACTTCATGAGAGACCCTGAGGCAGAACCATTCAGCCAAGCCATTCCCAGATTCTTGACCCTTAGAAACTGGATGCAAGAATAAATATTTATTGTTTTAGGCCACAATTTGGGGGGTAATTTGTTAGCAAGAGATAATACATCTGCCTTAGGGATGGATGAGGAGTCATTCAGTCTGAAAGGAGTAAGTACAACAGAGATTGAGAACTTGGGTCCTTGGAGCAGACTGTCCAGACTTAAATCATATCCCTGCTATTCAACACCCAGGCCTGTTTTCTTTCTCACTTTCAAAATAAGAAATTGTACCTATCTTATGGGATTTTTTACCTAGAGTATTAAATGAGTAAATGCACGTAAATTAATTAGGATAGTGTCTAGGACATGGTTAGCATTCCCAATATGTCAGCCATTATCGTCTATTAGATGATACTACTTAGTATTATTATCTAAGTATTAATTGTACTATAGTTATGGGCAAGCAAGAGAAAGAAGGTTCCAGGGAGAGTATGCTGTAGAAAAAGGGAGGCCAACTGTACGCAAAAGCACCGCAGGGCCTCATGGTTGCTCTAAGTTCAGCTACTTCTCATTTCAAGGTGGCTAATGGGCTTCCAGAATTTGCCAGTGTGTTTCCATACCACCGTTTCCCAAGGACTGAACTTTGAAGTTAGCTAGACTCTCACCTCTACCCTGTCCCTGACATCCAATCATTCTTTCAATTATCTATTTATCAAGGCTCCAGTAAGGGCCAAGCACTGTTTCTAGATGTGGGGGATAGTGAGTGAACACGACAGAGTCCCTACCTTAACCCAGCTCGCATTCTAGCAGGGAACACAATCAACCTCCAACCAATAGATCATACCATCAGGTATCGTTAAGTTCTGTACAGAAGAGCAAGTAAGGATAAGGAGATGGAGAGTGAGGTGCTAGTTTAGGAATCTTGACGATCTCTGCTAATTTAATCTCTTAAAAGTTCTCCCGACCACATCTTGCCATCCCACTGACATTATCAAGACACTTCATCATCCCGGGTCTGGATTGTCCCAACTGTCTCACCACCTTCACTGCCTCGAGTCCTGAATCATTAGACTCCCATCTGATCACATGATAGCCCTGCTCAAAACACTTCAGTGGTTCCCATCCCACAGGGGACAACACCTAAACATCTCTACACTCTTGGCTGATAGCCTTTTTTCCTATTTCACTAAACAAATAGAAGCCATCAGAAGGGAATTTTCACATTCTCCCAATACCACAAGCACCCACCTACCTGCATGTGTGTCATGTGCTCTGCTTTGCCTTGTCCTTTTAGGCACAAACTGTCCACACTGCTAAGGTCAGCGCCTCCACTTGTGTGCTGGATCCCATCCTCTCAGCCGTGCAAGGACATCGCTCTATCAGTTTCCCCCTTCTCATCACATTTCCCCTCTTTACAGGAACATTTCTGTCACCAACATATCATGTCTGGCATTATAAAAACCCTCTGTTGATGCTCTTCTCCCTGAGCTACGGGCCCGTTTCTCCTGTCTCCTGGCCTCAGTGTTCAGTTCTCGTGTCTCATGCACACTCAGTCTCTTCTTGGTACCATCCAGTCTCATGGCTTTCACCCCCACCTGCGAGCATCTGCCGATGCCTCCTAACTTTGTACCTCCAGCCAGAACTCTCCCTTGAACCACAGACTTGTCTATCTGGCTGCTCTTCAAAGTTCTGTCCTCACATCTCAGCGACAGTGCCATCCTTCCAGACTCCAAAAACCTTGGAGTCAATCTTGAAATTCTTTCTTTTACATCCAGCCTTCACATCCTTCAAGTCTTTGCTCAAATTCATCTTTCCAGTGAGTCCTTCCTGCCTGCTGTATTTTAAATGGAAACTCTCTTCCTACAAATATAATACTACCTGCCCTTCTTCCATGATTCATTCATCTCCATTGCACTCATCTCCATCTACCAAGGAGGGTGTCACTAATTTATACCATTGCTCTATGAATGAGATACTGTTTTTGATATAGTATTTTGGCTGGGAGGGAGGGAAGAAGTTTCAGGATAGTATTTTGGCTGGGAGGGAGGGAAGAAGTTTCAGGATAGTATTTTCGCTGGAAGGGAGGGAAGAAGTTTCAGGAGCTTTCACCATGCTTACCCCATGATCTTGTGGGGTAAGAACAAAGACCCAGTGTGGGTTTCTGCTGAGTATTCTATTCTAGTAATACATTTGGGGACTAGGGAAGTGACACTGAGATGGGCCTGGAGAGCCAGTGGACCAGGGTGAATTGAACTCCATGTATTACTTCATTCCCACATGCCTCACTCTACAAGGCAACCTATGATACTACCTCAAGTCTCTGAGGATCAAGTTCAAATCAGACCTGGTGTCCAAAGTTTCTTGAAATATCTTGTAACTCCCTTTCCCCAGTGTGCAGCTATTTGAGTATATGGCCACAGGTCTCTCAGGCTGGGAGAATCTTCACCATGTATATTTAATACATGCCATGGTGTTTCAGGGTCCTTCCTCTTGGAGACATGCCTTCACTTTTAGTTAGTGGGCTGCTCCAAGTTGAAAAGCTGGCTCAGATTCAGAAACTTGGAAAAAGATTGTGACTTTTTATTGGGATAACTGTCTTCAGCCTCCTGTTTATCTGTTCTTGATTTCTTTGGATTATATACCTTGAGTTTGCATACAAGTGAGTTCATTGCATACACCTGCCATTTAATAGCCAAGCTCTTCCATGTGGCCTCTCATTTCAGGCTCCTAATACCCCAGATCCTTATTCTGTAGTAACATCTCCCACTGTCAGTCCTGGCCTAGAGAGAGGAGCCACCACTGCACTGATCAGTGATAGCCTAGTGCATTTGTGCTGCTACAGCAAAATACCTGGGCCTGGTTAATTTATAAAGAACAGACATTTATTTCTCACAGGTCTGGAGCCTGGGAAGTCCCAGATCCAGGCGCCAGCAGGTTCAGTTATCTGGTGAGGCTGCACCCTCACATGGAAGAAGAGCTGAAGAGCAAGCTAAGGTAATGCTGTGTGAAGCCTTTTTCATAAGGGCCTTAATCCCGTTCACGACGGAGGAGTCCGCATGACCTGATTACCTCTTAAAGGCCTCCTCTTACAGCCATCACGTTGGCAGCACCTGAATTTTGGAGGCGACACATTCAAACCATAGCAGTGATGCTGGAGCTCCTCTCACCAATGCCATCCTTTTAGCTTTGCTTAATGATATACTCACTTGGTAAATAGCCCTTCCATGGAACGTAGTCCTCCGATGGGTCTTTTGACTCATTTTTCCACTTGTCTACCTCACTCACTGTGGGCTTTCACTGTTTCCTGCTTCTGGGAGCCATCCTAGTAGCCTATCTGCAACCCCTCCTGGGGGTTTTTCCAGGGTGTTAATTACTATGTTTTGCTCTTAGGTGATTAACTTTCCCTTATCCCTTTTAATGTTTCAGTTGCCTTAGTTTGATTCTAGGCAAAGTCACCTGGCTCCTGCCAGTTCACGCTGGCTAGGACCTGCAGCTCCTTTGTAGGAGTTCCTGGTATTCCTTCCCAATCCCACCATGACCCCATCTGGGTTCTCCTTCCCAATCCCACCATGACCCCATCTGGGTTCTGTTGTGACCTAACGTAGGTATTAGCCTTGGGGCCAGCCAGTTCTGTGGGGACTGCTCTTGGGGTGGGGCAGGGTATTTTGCAGTATGTAAAAATCTCTTAACTATTAATCACCATAAGATGAAGCCAAGATCTGTCTTCCCAGAGAACACTGAAGTTTATAACTAATAAACACTGTATATAATTATAGTTCCTTCTCCTGAGACTGTTTTGTGCAGTGATGACAAATATTCTTTTTTTTTTTAACCTAAAGGCAATGGAAGGCTTTTCCTTCAAATATAATAGTTACCTCTGTTGTTACCTGATTTTCATTTTCCATGTCATCATCCATTTGTTTTTACAGTACGAATGCTGTGATTTCCTATCATCGTCTACTTTTCGTTATTTACTAGAAATGGATAGCTTCTCCACTTACTGGCAGGCAAAGAAAGCATTGTGAAAGTTGATCTCTGTTCCCACTCACTAGCAAATTGGTAGTAATCACTTAGTAAGAGTGGAAAAGTACAGATCTCATTTGATGCAGTAAAAGTGGTAATTTCTTCAGATATGCAACGTTGCTTGTTCGTCCTTACTGTGAAGTTAACTAAGACTGGCACTCACGCTGCTTGGAGCCCTGGCTTCCCGCACCACGTGTCTCGGGACAGCCAGTCCCAAACTACAAATGGGCTGCATTCCAAAAATGTGGTTGAAAAATCAGTTTAGGACTCAAATCACTTTTTCCACGGAAACAATGTAATGAGTAAAAGTCGAGTCAGCTGCCCGCCCGCCCTCCCCTCAAAGTCTATTCAACACAAACCGTAGCTGCGAATGGGGCCTGCAGCGACAGTGCTGCTCTAAGGGGCCTCGCTCCTCTGCCCCCATCCCATCTGCTCTCCACACAGCCCCGGCATAAGCCTCCTTGTCCGGTTCAGTGCTCAAAACCCACCCCAGGACCCCGTACCGAATCAAGCCTCAATCCTATTCCCCAGATATTTCCCCAGATATTTCTCTCATTTCCTCCACCCCCATTGCTGTGATCCCTCTTACCCAGACTACAGTCTCCCAGGGGTTCTTCCTACGTCTAGTCACGTCGCCTTGCCGGGCGTCCGCCATGCTGCTGCCAAGCTCTGGGACGTGTCCGACAGGCCCTCTCCGTCTCGTCGCAGCCCCCTGCTTTTAAAGCCTCGTTGGCTGCTATTACGCTGACTGATGTATTTCTGCACAGCGTGTTTTCTTTATTTGGAATTTCCTGAGAGATTCCTGATCAAAGCCATGTGCCAGCTCCTCTGGGAATCCTTCCCCCTGCAACCAGGAAGAGGAAGTCACTCGTTCCTCAGAGCTCCGCAGCCCTGTGCGCACTCCCTCCGTGTGCGAGGCCTGAGGGATCCGCGAGAGGAAGAAAAAGATGAGTAATTCCCACCCCCGGCCCTCAAGGAGCTCACTCTACCAGGCGTCCTCAAATATGGCCCCGAGGGGTTTTTTGCCCTTTTATTTCTTTACTTCAAAATAAGATACGCGCAGTGTGCGTAGGAATTTGTTCATAGTTGTTTTTTTTTAAACTATAGTAGGGCCCTCCAACGGTCTGAGGGACAGTGAACTGGCCCCCTATTTAAAACGTTTTTTTTTTTTAGACAGAAAAAAAAATCAATACTTCCAACCACTGTGAGAAACACTTTTTGTAAGTGTGTCTAGAGTGCTGCAGATCCAAGGTCAAAGGAATAACTAACTTTTATTTAACTAGGGGACCGGAAGTCATTCAGGAGAGGGTGGTATTTGCCTCGAGACTCGTGAAGGATGGGGCATTCCGAGGGAGAAAGGGCATGGCAAGGAGAGAGACTACTGCAGTCGGCCTTCCGCATATGTGAGTTCTGCATCCATGGGTTCAACCAACTTAGGATGGAAAACGTTTGGGGAAAAAAAAACGTCGTCTGTACGGAACACGTACGGACTTTTTTTCCCTTGTCATTATTCTCCAAACGATGATATAACAACTATTTACAGGGCACTTACATTGTGTTAGGTATTATAAGTAATCGAGAGATGATTTAAAGTATACAGGAGGACGTATATAGGTTATATGCAAATTCTATGTCATTTTGTAAAAGGGACTTGAGCATATGTGGATTTTGGTATCTGTGGGAAGCCCTGGAACGAGTCTCCCACGGATCCCAAGGGACGACTGTATTTGCACAGGCGTAAGGGCATGAGTAGGCCACCATGGTTGGAGAATTGAAAATAATTTTTGTATGGCTGCAGGGCAAGGTGGGCATGATAAAGCCGTGGAAACCCGGCAAAGTCGGGTCATGAAAGGCCTGAGCAGCCCACATAAGAAGTTTCCATTTTCTTTTCGCAAATGTCTACTCTAAAGTTAAGAATTCTATCCATTCTTTGAACTTGTAAGGAGAAAAAAAAAAAAAAGAATTCTGGGTTATTCATCTTCATATCACCTCTGGCATCTAGCACCATGCCTGGTCCATAGTAGGCCTTCTCTTTATAGTTTTTAAGTTATTTAAAAATAGTTTTTAACATCTCTAAGTGATAAAATCTGGGGAAATAGAGGTAAAACTAAAAGTTGGATCTAGTAAAACTTGCAGACAAACTTCTTTTTTTTTTTTTTTGAGACAGAGTCTCGCTTTGTTGCCCAGGCTAGCGTGAGTGCCGTGGCATCAGCCTAGCTCATAGCAACCTCAAACTCCTGGGCTCAAGCAATCCTCCTGCCTCAGCCTCCCAAGTAGCTGAGACTACAGGCATGTGCCACCATGCCCGGCTAATTTTTTCTATATATATATTAGTTGGCCAATTAATTTCTTTCTATTTATGGTAGAGATGGTCTCGCTCTTGCTCAGGCTGGTTTCAAACTCCTGACCTTGAGCAATCCCCCCCCAGCCTCCCAGAGTGCTAGGATTACAGGCGTGAGCCACCTCACCCGGCCCAGACAAACTTCTTATTTCTGTACGTTTGCTTTCATTATTTTAATGCCAAAAACAAATCCAGATATACAAGAAAGTGGGCTATTAACTTTTTCCCTTTAATTTTATCTTTCTGTATGATTTAAACATTTTTAAAGAATCAAGTTCATCTGCTTTTCTAATTTTAAAAAGAGCTTATGTTTTATTAATTTAAAAAAGCAAATAGAGGTCTATATATTGGAGGTTGAAAAATTATTCCCTCATTAACTTACATTCCCTCTGAGATTTATTGCACAGTAAATTAGTTAATTGCAAATCCTCCAGCAATGTTTTACTCCATTATAGATTACTTTGGAAAAACAAATTTGATTTTTCCCTCTTGAACAATGAGTGGTTTATTTTAAAGTAGGTGAAAGGTAACGTGAAGGGAAAAAAAAAACCCAGCTTCACAGATGTATAGTTTAAAGTTTGCCAAGTACTTAGTGAAGGGTTACACTAACTTCAAACGGTTGGAAAGTATAATGTAATGTGAGAACGCCAAGGTCTTGTTTCCCTTTCAACTCCTTCTCTCATCCAGTCCTATGTAAACCAACAGCATAAAGGGTGGAGAGTTTCAGAGATCACATCCCCTCGTGGAGAGCAAATGAACAAAAGGGCAAAGAGAGAGAGGCAGTGAAATACACACGCTCCATTATATTTGCAAACGGGTTACAGTGTTTGTCCTTGGATAAGAATTTTATATTCCCTTGTGAGTCTGAGAGTCTGTCTGTGCTCTAAATTAATATGTTGCTCAATTCAAGCAACAATCCAAGGCCGATGACAGTCAGTGTACACAGCTACCATTTCTTGGTAGGTTGAATAGTCATTTGTATATTTTATGTACCTTATAAAAGCAAGGCGATATAAATATTGGTGATATGAAAATTGATATTCCACATGAATTGTCAATTGCTAGTCAAACACCTCAAGCTTTTTCTTTTATAGGGTGAGATTTAAAGTCTCAGCAGGGAGAGTTCTTTGGGTTTGAAATATCTCCTCTAAGTATTTCAGTTCAGACACTGTTTTCTCCAAAATATGTCTCAGTGTGTTGGTGCTTCCAAAGTGTGGACAATCCATATTTTGTGACTCTTCTTAGTGAGTGCTATTTGCCCCAGTCTGTCCCGGATCTAGACTAGAGATCAGCCTTGCCTGGAGCCTCTGGCTAGGACCATGTATGATTCTACCATAGGCAAGCTGTGACCATTGCACCCAGTGACAGGGTGGTTTTCTTTACTCATGGGTGAAGAAAGTGACTTCCTATGGATGTGATTTCTGGAACAGAAGTTTACCTAAAGTTCCTGGAGGAAATACTTTCCCCACCTCCTGGCTCCCTGAGGATTAACATGCCAGATACAAAGCTTCATTCCTTCTGTTAAAATGTAAACGAGGCTTGCAGGCCTGTGTGGTGGCTCATGCCTGTAATCCTAGCATTCTGGGAAGCCGAGGCGGGAGGATCGCTTGAGGTCAGGAGTTCAAGACCAGCCTGAGCAAGATTGAGACACACCACCCCCCCCACTAAAAAGAAAAAAGAAAAAAATATATATCCAGTCGACTAAAAATAGGAACAAAAAATTAGCTGGCTCGTACTTGTAGTCCCAGCTACTCAGGAGGCTGAGGCAGTAGGATCACTGGAGCCCAGGAGTTTGAGGTTGCTGTGAGCTAGGCTGAGACCAAGGCACTCACTCTAGCCCGGGCAACAAAGTGAGACTCTGTCTCAAAAAAAAAAAAAAAAAAAAGAGGAAATGAGCCCAGCAGAGTAAAACAGTTTGCTGCTATAAGTCATTTATATCATAGTGAGAGTGAGGCTGTTATTTATCCTGAGTATAGGTTTTAATAAAAAATGGTAGAGATGGGAGCATGAGACATTGAGATCTTGGCAGGAGAGAGAAAGAGAAAAGGTTGGTTTAAAAACAACAATAACAGTAAGTAGACATACCATTTAGAGAGGAAAAAGATAAGCTAAGTATGTTCAAGATAATTTTCATTACGATTTTGCATAAGCCAGGCTGAATGTAAATTTTTTTAACAGATGGGATCATATATTCATTCAACAAGCATTTATTGACTATCTTCTATAAAAAGAATGATAATTAGAGTTTTTTAAATTACAGAAGAACCAATACTAGAGAAATATATACCAAAATTCTTCCAATGGTTCAATTGTCAAAGTAGAATTATAAATGCAGAGTTAAACTCCGTTTTCTATCAAAAAGTAATTGTAAAGGAGCTATATCTAAAAATGTATCTTTTCAGTGATTTTTCTTCTGAACAATCCTCCTTCTGCCCCAAATACATTTTGGGACCATGATCTGCAACCACTTTTTTTTGGTGGGTCAGGATACCAGTTTGTGACTTTAAGCAGTGCATCATTAGCATGCATTAAAAAAATGTACCAAGAAAAAAAATAAAATAAATGTACATTTATCTAAAGCAGAGCTTAGCAAAGTACAGTCTGCAGATCAAATCCAGTCCACTGCCTATTTTGTATGCCTAGCAAGTTAAGAATGGGTTTTACATTTATCAAAAGAATAACATTTTATGATGTGTTAAAAATTGTGTTAAATTCAAATTTCAGTACTCATAAACAAAGTTTTATCAGAACACAGCCATTCCCTTCTATTTATGTATTATCTATGGCTGCTTTTAAATCAGAATGGTGGATTTGCTTAGTTGCAACAGATCATTTGGCTCACAGAGCCTAAAATATTTACTATTTGCTCCTTGATAGCAAAAGTTTGCCAGCCCCAGGTGTAGGTTATTGGTTCCCAAAGTGTTCTATGGAATAGTCTCCCCAGGTGCTCTGCATAAATAAGTCTTCCATAGTGAAATAATCTTGGCAGAATCTGCATACTACAACTCACTTTTGGATAATCATTGTCTACACTGTCTTATTAAAGGATCTGAGAAGTCCTGCAGTTAATAAAATTGGCTGTTTTTTTTAAAGCCAGTTTCCAAAGACTATTGGACCTCAGAACAATCTCCAATCTCTTCTCTTTTATATAACACCTGTAAACACCTTCTGGGACTAAGAGAAATTCTAGCCTGGAGTGGGGACTTCTTTATAGGTAGGAGGTATTTTCAAGCATGGTTTGACATGCTCCCACAGTACTTGTTAAATTTCTAAGGAATGTTAAAATCATTTTGCCCAACTGTCTTGTTTTACCGATTGGGATATGGAGGTTGATAATGGTCATGTGACTTGGTATTATTTCTTCTACGTGGAAAGCTCTTCCTCTGGTCATCCATTTGTCTTAATCTTTTGCTTCCTTCAGGTGCTCTATTCCAGAAGTGAGGGCTTCCCTGACCACCCAAAAAAAAACTGAGCCCCTTCTTCCTAGCATTCCCTATCTACATTTCCTGCATTATTTTGCTTCATAGCACTGATCACTAACACATCCTACACTGACATGTTTTTAAAAAATTATATGTCATCCCTCATTAGAATATTAATTAATTCCTAGGAATTTTGTCTGTTTGGTTCACTGTTGTAGCCCGTGGCCTAGGGTAGCACATGAGTCCTATATGTACTGTATTTAATGCATACTGTATGCTGTATGTGTTAGTAGCTGAACCAGGGCTTGTTCCCAGACCTCCTGCAAACTCGATCAGGGACGCACATGATGTAATAGAATGAGTAGGAGATTTTAGCATCATATACTTTTGGATTCAAATTCTGATCCTGGCCTCCCCAATGGCAGTGATATAAACAAGGCACGGGTTTATTTTCATTATCCTTTTGTGATAAAGAGGTCCAGGGCTGAGAGGGCAACTCCAGAGCCATCAGGACCCAGGCTTGCTCCATACTCCTTGGAACATGGTTTCCATTCTCAACTTTTCTCCTGGCTGTGGGAGCGCCAGGCCTGATGTCTGTGTTGAGGCTGGGGGAAAAATCAGTTTCCTCTAATGAGTCTTTCCAGTGCCTTCTGCTTCTTTTTCAGTGACCACCGCTAGGCTGGAAAATGTAGTACTTAGGATGGGCATATTGTCAACCCAAATAAAACTTTCCTCTGTTGGCAAGGAAAAAGGAAAGGACAGGCGATGGGCAGGCATCTAACAGGCACTGACATAGTAGCTATCAGTGCTGGGCACAGTACTGAATGGTACCTACCTTGTAGAGTGTATCAGTTTCCTGGGGCTGCCAGAAGAAATTACTAGAAATTAGGTGGCTTAAAATAACAGAAATATATTCTCTCACATGGGTCTGCAGGGTTGTTTCCTTGCCAGAAGGAGAAACCGCCCTATGCCCCTCTCTTAGCTTCTAGGGGTGCCTGGCAATCCTCGCCCTTCCTTAGCTTGTAGGCCTGTCACTCCAATCTCTGCCTCATCTTCTCTGTGTCTGTGTGTTCCTTTCTGTCTCTGATAGTGACGCCCTTTTTGGATTTAAGGCCCACACTAATCTAGTATGATCTCACCTCATGCTTACCTTAATTACATCTGCAATAACCCTATTTCCAAATAAGGTCACATTCTGAGATTCCAGTTAGACGTGACATTTTGCAAGATACTATTCAATGCACTACATAGAGTTATTGTGATAATGAAAGATTCTGGACATAAAGTGCTGACAGTCTGTCCTATCAGGAAAATAGATCTTTTTACTGAGAAGTTATGAAACTACATGCAAATCACAAAACTCTTTTTGGAAATTATAGTACAAAAAGGGGATAACTTTTTTGCCTTTTTATAGTTGTTTATATATAGTTTCATGCATGTGTCATAGGCATTTAGTTCTATTAACTGAGTTAATCCTGAGGATTAAATTTAGGGGAAATTAGGTATTGAATCTAAGAAACATCATTCATCCATACTGTGAGAAGGAATGTTAGGAAAATTAGTGGAAGTACTTGTGGTAGGTGCTTCTTGGGTTGGGCACCCTGCTGAAAATCTGCTTCCTGCTTGTGCCAGGTGAAAGAAACCTAAAGCTTTCCAATTCATTTGTGCCTTGGGGTTGGTTGAAGCTGGTGCAGGTAATTTTCTGCAACCCAAACAGCCTTAATTAGTAAAACACTGGAGTCTCAGGATATTAAACCCAACACACAAAGAACAGTATACAAATGACAGCTAATCTGCTTTCAGGTGTTTTCTATTTAGATAAGTTGTCCATTTAGTTTTTCTGATCTTGGCATCGTTGACTAACAACACAAACCTGATTTTAAAGCAATCTTTCATCTTAGGGATAAACATTAGCACATTAAAATGTGCCAGTGGGACCACATGTTCTCAGGAGAGTCCACGGACCTTTAAGTTTAAGCAGCAAGACTTCAGAAGCCCTAACCCAAGGAGGGCAGAGCTGGAAGAGCCGGGAAGATGCAAGTGGAGCTGGCACAGATGCTGGGATGTCTACTCAGATCTGCACGTTCTCGTTACTATTGTTTGACTTGAAAAATCTGGAGGACAGATTATGAGAAAGACAAAACAGAATGGAAGCTACGCTGACCAATTTTTATAGTAAAAAAATCTATGCCAAAGGGTTGGTTTGATATTTTCTCTATTTGGAACCAAGAAATTAAAGAAGAAAAAAAACCACATAAGGTATTTTTTTCTTAACATATGTATTTATAATATTTGTCACTGCATTTTGACTTATTCAAATTGTTTAACATAATGATATCTATTGGTAGTATTTTCAATAAAATAGAATAAACGGCAGTTTTGTTTTGTTTTTTGGCAGCATATTTTTTTTTCTCGTAACTCAGAGAGTAGAGGGAGGAGAAGATGTAAAGAATGTGAGAAAATTCTGGTTCAGGGAGAGATGAGGAAGGGAAGTTCTCTCTAGCCTACTGGTGTCCTTGAGAATGCCTCTCTCAGGGCTCAGATAACCATGCCCCAAACTGTGGCACTGTGGCTTCCTGGGGAGTTTGAACTAGAGGAGATGGAAGGCCTCAGAAGCAAAGTCTCCCTCAGACCTTCTCCTGCCCTTCTCTCTCCCGTTCCCCTTATCCCCCAAATCAAGTCGTACAAACCAGAATTCCTCCTCCCAAGGTGGATCATAGAAACTAGAGCCCCTCTCCCCATAAAGCAATCCCTAGAACCTAGAAAAGTCATTCTCCGCCTTCTCCCTTGAGGACCCTCATTCCAGAGAGGTCCTGCCCCATACCCAAGGGGAGGGAATGCTGCACAGGGAGGCCAAGAAGAATGTGGACAGGCCTTGCTGGGTCTCCCTGCTCAGTCTAGTGCCATTAAATCACACCCTTTTGTCCAGTCACATTTCTACATGGCTGTCCATTCTCCTTCAACCTTAAGCATAAAAAAAGGACAGTTGTCCCTGAGTCTTTGTGTCTTTATTTCTGAAGTCTCCTGTGTTACACAAAACCTTGATTAAATAAATGTGTGATGCTTTTCATTTATAACCTGTCTTTTGTTATAGGAGTGTCAGCTGTGACCCTTATGATGGGTGAAGAAAGATGCCACAACTTTCTATCCCGACACATCTACTGCAATGAACATTTCTCAGGTTTACATGTGACAGTCAGGGCTACCTGATTTTTCTAACAGTATTTCCTTTCCAGTAGAATTTATTTTTTGAGTTGTTTTTATTTCAAAATATTAAGGGTTTACAAATGTTTTTGATACATGGACAGCTTTATAATGCTTTAGTCAGGGCTGTAAGTTTGTCCATCACCTGAACAGTGTTCATCATACCTTTAGGTAGGTTTCTACCCCTCCCCTCCTTCCCCCTCCCTCTTCTTGATTCCCAAAGATTGTTACTACTTTCTATGCCCATGTGTGCTTATCAATTAGTTCCAAATTATTAGGGACTACATTAGTACTTTTTCATGGTGTTTAATAGCAACAGAAAAACATTTAGGCACATTTTAAAAATTAGTTTATAGTCCTAGAAATGTTAAGAATTGAGAAGAAATGTTCTTCTTAAGGTGGTATAGTTAAAAATATCATCCAAAAGGGACTTTCACGTTGGCTTGTTTCAGAAGCTGCTTTACCCAACATGTAACATGTCCATCTTTTCTCCATTAAAAGAAAATTTTTACTTTTTTTTTAAAAAAATGAACCAGTTGCTCAGTGCATCATCTTTATTTTTGGCCTCTAAGTTTGAGACATCTGAACCAAGTCAACTGCTGAGGGCTCGACTACCACTATGGGGCATGGGACTTAGAATGTCTCCATTAGAATGTCTCCTTAGGGATGAGACTTGACAGTCTCTCTTGTTCACTGTTTACTATTAAATAGTACGTGGCGCATGGTAGACTTGTTACAAATATTAAATGGTTGGATAATGGACATATATATGTTGATGGATAAATGAATGGATGGCTAGATGGATGAGTTCTAGTGAGTTGCCACTAGGTGGCAATGTTTACTTGGATCTGTGCTGCACGTGTTGACAAGCATCTCAAGTCTCAGGATCACATCAACCCTACATGCCTGAACTTCCCTGTTCCAGCCCCCTTGTGGCTACTTCTTCATCCCCCAGTAACCTTCTAGGGGGTTGGCAATCACAGATTTTCTCTTTAGAAATAATCGTAGATATTATCTGTTCTCTGCCAACTACCCCATTTTCAGGCCAATGAAGTGGGGGCCACGGTGAAGCCCACGGTGGTGGTATATGTAGTTCTCAGCAATTGATTTAGTTCAGATGTCTCAAACGTGGGAGCCAGAAATGAAGCTAATATGCCGAGCTATTTCTGCATTAAAAAACAAAAACAAAAACAGTGAGAGAGAATTTCCCATAGTAGAACTAGCACCTGCACCCCACCCACATGCGTGATGCAGCCACTGCAGTGACCCTAGTTCCCAGCCTGCTGTTGCCGCTCAGAAGGTCCAGCTCTGCATTCACAAGAATATAGAAGCCATGAGGTTCCCTCGCTTTCTGCAAATCAACTAGCTCTGCCATTTTCATTCTTAAACTTTCATTTGGCCTCAGGTCCAGCTGGCATGGCCTTTGTTTCCTCGTTGTGACAGGTTTTTAAAACTTAGGTTCTGAAAGGTCCTAGCTGCAAATTCCAATATTGCCTCCATGGAACCCAGTGGTTTCTATTTTCTCTAATCCTGGCATTTAGCAGCAGCAGAGCAACAGTATGACTAATACTGCTGGGCCTGTGTTAGTCACACTACCACACATTTTTAGCAATTATTCAAAATGCAGCTTTCCACATAGCAGTAGACAGGGACTGGAGAAGTCGTATTGGGCAGGAGAGCCTCAGATGACATTGCAGATCTCCACCCATTCAGCAGAGAGCTCTGGAACAAGACTGCCTGGTAGAGGAGTCCTGCATTAGGCAGAAAGGTCCAGGCCCTAGTGCCCTCCAGGAAGAGCATGACCTCAGCTCTGATATGGTGGAGCCTGAAGGCAGTGACAGCTGGAGGCTGTCAGCTGACTGCACTCTTGGCAGCTGAACAGCAAGGTTTTTCTTGAATGGAGATCTGAGGGACACACCTGCATGACTGCCACAAGAGGTATTTCGTTCTACTTCCTTCTAAGACTTGCGGAGTGCCACTATGCCTAGACACTGTGCCAGGTACTTTTTTCATATATTCTTGCAACAGCTCTAGGTAATATCCCAACTTTTCAGATGAGCAAAGTGGATTTCGGTTCACATGCTTCCCCAGCTGCCTGCTTACAATCGAGTCAGTGGGGGCGGTTGTCTGAACCAGGGGAAGTGATTCCAGGGCATGGACCTAGCATGAGATCTGGATCAAGGGAGACACAAGCTGGGGATAAACTGGGACTGGCAGATTCTAGTCAAAGTGGCAGTGACCTCAATCCTTGAATAATCTCAAAAGGGAACTTTCAAAGATCACAGACTGTGTCATTGGGATCACACAGTTCACCTGTTTGGAATGTTCCGCAGCTTCCCATTCGTCTTAGTCACTTCAGGCTGCCATAACAAATTGCCATAGACAGAGTGGCTTAAACAATAAATATTTATTTCTCACAGTTTTGGAGGCTGGAAAATCCAAGATCGAGGTGCTGACAGATCTGGTGTCTGGTGAAGGCTGGCTTCCTGGTTTGCAGAAGGATGTCTTCACATGTTACTCGCACATCGCAGACAGCAAGGAGAGAGAAAGCAAGCTCTCTTGTCTCTTCTTATAAAGGCACTAATCCCATTCATGAGGGCTCTACCCTCATGACCTAATCACCCCCCAACAGGCTCCACCTCCTACTACCATCACATTGGGGGTTGTTAGAGCTTCAACATATGAATTTTGTGGGGATACAAACACTGGCCTAAGAATGAAGTGTAGGCACCTCGCCATGGCCGCCAAGGCTCTGCTTGACTTGGCCCTGAGTGAGCTTCCAACCCAGTGCTTCTCTTGCCCTGAGGGGACATTTGCCAGTGTCTAGAGTCATTTTTGGTTGTCACAACTGGGATGTGGGGGAAGGTGTTACTGGTACCTAGTGGGTAGAGGCCAGGGACGCTGCTAAACATTCTACAATGCACAGGGCAGCCGAACAACAAAGAGTCATCCAGCCCCAAATGCCCACAGTGCTGAGGCCGAGAAAGCCGCTTTCTCCTGCCCTGCTCCGCTCCCCTCATTCTCCACGCTGCAGCCACACTTGCTCAGAGGGGCCTCAGCACAGCTCGTCTCCACTTTCTGGAAGCTTGTCTTCCCACTACACCTCACTCTTAGTCCTCCCTCAGGTCTCAGCTCAGATACAACTTCCTCAGAGAGGAGCCCACACCTGTTGAAGGTATGTCCCTCCCCACCGCCCTACAAGGTATGTCCTTCCCTCCTCTCCTGTTCTCTCCTACATCACACTGTTGTCTTTCTCCATGACACTCACCGCAGTTGTAAATCCATATTTATTCAAATTTTACTTGTTTATTGTTTCTCTTTCTTGCTATGCTATAAACTTTATACAATATCTTCCCATTAACTAGCAAGGTGCTTAGCATTTCCTTCCTTCCTTTCTTTTCTTTTTTTTGAGACAAAGTCTCGTGCTCTGTTGCTCCGGGTAGAGTGCAGTGCAGTGGCATCATAGCTCACAGCAACCTCAAACTCCTGGGCTCAAGCGATCTTCCTGCCACCTCAGCGCCCCCAAGTAGCTAGGTCTACAGACATAAGCCACCACATCCAGCTAATTTTTTTCTATTTTTGGTAGAGATGGGGTCTCACTCTTGCTCAGGCTGGTCTTGAACTCCTGACTTCAAGCAGTCCTCCTGCCTCAGCCTCCCAGAGTGCTAGGATTACAGGCGTGAGCCACCATACCCAGCCCAGATAATCTTCATAATGGTGTTTTAAACTGTCTCATCATAATATGAGGACAGAGATCCACTGTATGGTCCAATTCAGGAAACGCTATTGGAAGAAAGAGGAGATAACTCTTCTTCAGTACTTTCCAGTTCTAATAGGGTCATATTTTCTATCTTTTGGTACTAAATGTACAATGTCACATCTTCTATTCTTGTTGCCAGATGGATGTGATTTAGCACAATACTATCCCATTAGCATTTCTGTTTAAGCATAAGTCAGTAGTATTACACTGAGCTGAGGCTATATAAAAAGTAATTAACCACAAAGACAATTACAGTTTAAGTAGGTGTTTAAAAATTTAAGACAGTGGGAAATGTTAACCTTTTAAAAAAAAGACCTCACATTCCCT